TATATATATATATATATATATATATTTGTTTTACGTTTTTTAAATAATATAAATTTATTATTAACTTCCCTTTGCGAAAAAAGGCAAAAACAAGTGCAAAATCTTTAAATTGTAAAACCTTTAATATTTAAAATCCACTATGTAGATTAAATAACAACTATCAATGCATCTTCTATAGTATATTACTGTATATTTATTCAATCCAGAACTGCATGTTTTACAACTTAGAATAATATGATGTTACCATATCTTCATGTTTTGAAGACAATGTCCTATGCCCTATTTGCTTGCCTATATATCACATATTCTGAAAGCCTCTATGCAACATTATATCAATGGTAATGTTATTATTGCCTACCGGTATTTATTATTATTATTATTATTAATATTATTATTATTATTATTGACTTTTTCCAGTAGTACTGGGGAAAGCCATTGTTTTTGTTCTGATTTTTTTTTTCTTTACCTTTTTCTTGCATATATTTTTATTTTTTTGCACTGTTTTTTTCTGGCCATCACTTTGGTCACTTCCCATGCTTAGAATTTTTCCGTGCTTTGCCAAAGCATAGGCCATATATCAAGGATGTGTCTCCTAATATTTAGTGTCAATCTGTGGTGTGGTGTGCGTGTGTGAGGACCAATTAAAGTGATTTAAGGTCAAACAGTCTACACCGGATATTTCAAAAATCAGTTAGTTGATGTGATTGAAACTTACGGGAAAGTTTAATCAAGCTGCAAGGAAGAAATATTTATGTGTTAGTGACGATCCAGTGAAGGGTGTAAATTTGAGGGTCTTTTCAATTTTTGAGGATAAAGACCGAAATATCTTTAAAATCCAATGGGTCTAAATGAAACGTTCTATAATACTTTGTAAAGGTCTTTTTGTGAAGATCCGCAGTATGGTGTGGATCCGAGGATCATTTAAAGGAAAACGTCTCAGACCACATATTCTGATAACGGATCAACTGATCTGAATGAAACAATCGGGAAAAGTTTAACCAAGTTACAAGGAAGATAGTATTATGTGTTGGCGACGAATCAGTCAAGGGTGTAAACTGGAGGGTCATTTAAATTTTTGAGATCCCAAACGTAAATATCTATAAATAGTTTTCAATGGGTGTAAATGTAACTTTCTATAATAGTTTGTAAAGGTCCAGTAAAGAAATGACTGAATTTTTGTGATGATCCGGCGTAGGGTGTGAATATGAGGACCATGCACCATTTAAAGGAAAACGTCCCAGACCAGATATTTTAAAAACAGGTCAACTGATCCGAATGAAACTTTCAGGGAAGTTTAACCCAAGTTACAAGGAAGATATTTCTATGTGTAGGGGACAATCCAGGTTAGGGTGTAAATGTGAGGGTCATTTATATTGCTTACGTCCCAGTTATAGATGGATAAAAATGACACTTTGCAGAAGTTGTTTTTTTTTCACTTAATTAAAATTATATTGGGTTTCCGTGTTTTTTTTTTACTTTATACCCTTCTTTTTGTTGTAATTTCACTCCGGACTCCGGAGGGAAAAATTTTTTTGATTTGTTGTAGCACTGATTTTTCTAAGACAGAAAAAAGTTGTCTGACGAAGAACTGGGGAACAGTGAATGAGATACAGATTTTTGAATATTTAAAAACTGGGGGGAAAAGGTGTAAAAAATGGAGGTTATGCCCCCAGTTTTTAAATATTCAAAAATCTGTATCTCATTCACCATTCCCCAGTTTTTCGTCAGACAACTGTTTTCTGTCTTAGAAAAATCAGTGCTATAACAGATAAAATTTTTTTTCTCCGGAGCCTGACTTTAAAGCAATGGGGAAAAGCCATATGTTCTGTGTTCAAACAGACATAGTAAGTTTAGTTATTATTATTATTGTTATTTTTATTATTACTATTATTATTATAATTTAATTTTGCATGGGGGTGAGTAATGGCTAGATATGTAGAGTTGGGCCGACTTATTTAAAAACATTCCTGAACGACCTGCCAACCCCCTGATTGAAAATGGACTTTTCTGCTAAGCCCCGCCCCTTTGATATTGTTGCTAAGGTCTCACAAAAATGATATTTGCAATGTTCTGATTGGTCAGACACTCTGGAAAGGTCAATTGTCCATCTACCATTCCTGACGTCCAATTACCTGGTTAATGCAACTATTTATTTTGTGATTACTAATACTCAAGGTAAATCCAAGCAATGGAGTCTGAAATTATATGATGATTATGATAATAAAAAAAATATGCAATACTTTTATTAATAATATTCGAAGTTCACCACTAAGTAATTTTTCTTATAAATCGTGAGCTGGTTAAGCTTGGTTTCTATACAATCGCTACAGGCTATCACTGGCAGCTTTTGGTGATGCTGATTTGTTTGGGAAAATGGGAAGTCTACCCGATTGTGTTGGGGACTGTTATGCATTATGATTGCATAGAAAAAACTGTAGCGACAGCGTAGAGATTTTAAGAAAGCAGGCTTTATGTAATTACTGTATAGGTTTAGTACCAGCTCTACTCAGAAAGCTTTGCTTTTTTTTTTTAACCTTTAATATATTCACTTCAAATGTATTTTTTATAAACAGTTACAGTCACAGTGGTTTCATCAGTTGAATATATTATTACAGTGCATTCCATATTTTAAGAGAGCACTGCTCAATCAATAATTTTCATTATACTGTACCACATTTTGATTTGGAATGTTCCATTTAATGTACCCGTGTGAAAAGATGATAATAGTTACACGCAACCATCTAATACTCAATCAATTCTCAGAAAACTTTCTTGGGTACATTTGTAATGATTGGTTTAGGTCTTGTCTTGAAGACAAGTTTACGCCTAATGACTGCATTCACCATATAATGTGTTTCGTCCAATTTTTGAATTTGTGTTCCTGCTGATTGGTTAGAATCTGTTTCCATTGGTTCCATTGTTTCCTGATGACATTCATCGTGCTTCTGCATAACAATGAATGGTTTATCCAGCTTGACTACTTTACCATACAGAATGTGATGGCCAATTATGAAAATAGGAATGCCCTGAATAAAAGAAAAATAGTTAAGATTAGATTATCCAATCCTCTACGCAGGGATGTAGTTATGGAGGGCGGAGATGGACGGGCCGGGACACCCAGCCTTGAGTTTTTTCACCCAGTCTAAAGCTAGTTTGATAACTCTTCACCAACCTTTATTAACCCCACTGCCCATCCTTAAAATCCACTCCTGCTTAGAGTTTAGCAATGTTATCACCCACCCTCACCCTTAAAATGTCTTCCACCCACCTTTAGTTTCTATTCTAGAATTTGAAATATTCAAAGAAAATAGCTACTATAAATGTTATTAACTTGATTTAAGTTATAATTCATTTGGAAATACAGGAATTTTAAGTTTCTTTCATCCATTTAATTATATATTTTTTTTAAAATATTAACTTTCTTTTCCTTATTAACTTGTTTACCTCTCCATCCTTTCTGTATCTATCTTTTTTTCCCTTATCCTTTCTTTTCTTTATTATTTATTAATATATCTAGTATAAAAACATATTGTTGCTCATTTAAATCAATTATTATCTTTTAAATACAGTAAAACAAATATTAAATTTGTTGATGATTTACACTTCACTGCAACATCTGGAAAAAAATAACTAATTATGAAAAGCTGGAATCATTTCTCTCTCAATCAATGATTTCAGCTTTATTCAAATTTTGATATCGTGAAATCATCACCTGTTTGTTGAAATGAAGATCACCGATTAAGTTTCCGGCCAGTTGGCCTTCATGTCTGGATTCCAAGTGTCCCTGAAGCTCAAATAGTAACCACTCTGGGCAGCTATCATTGTTTTCCCTAAAAATGAAGCAATGTTATGTAATTAAGAAAGAAATACCTCCTTGGTAATATCAACTGTGGAATTTTTCATCTTGCAACGAGAAGTTAATAATATAGGCCTTGGCCAAACAGGCAGGCGAATGCGGATTATAATAATACTGTACCTTTACAATTATCATTCTGAAATTGTTGCAATAAAGGCTAGGCTACAATAGGACTCTTAAACTACACTAGGCGTAGCCTAGCTATCCTACACTGTACTGCAGTACTGTACCACTTACTGGGCCTAGTTAGTATTGTAGGGGCCTACAAAGTACACTCACACTTGTCACACTACACTAGGCCTAGGCGTAGCCTACTAGCCCAGTGTAGTAGGCTAGATAGAGTGAGGGAGAGTAGACGCTAGGCAGTCTATAAAATTTCTTTCTAAAACTTCAAAATTCACATCTTACATCTTAACAACTATCTGCACCATCTTTTCTTATTGATTATCTCTTACGAATCTAAAATTATATATACATAACAATTCATTCCGACTAAACCTTCTCTTCGATATTTCGCGGGGATTTATTGTAAATAAAATAGTCTTCGACTGAACGTCGCTGTAGGCCCAAGTGTTGCGGTTGGTAAAAGACTATTTTATTTAACCAAACTGTATTGTAGTAGATTATTCGATTGGCTTAAGCAATGAAACTTCTTCCACATTGGCCAATGGTCATCGAGCTTTCATATTTCTTGATTCACGTGGATAAACAGACAGCAGAGGAGCATGTGTTGTTTTTTGGAAGTGACAAAATGTCTGTTTTATTAACTATGAATTGATAAGCTTAAACGTAAGGTGGGGAATGAATTTCTTCTTCAATTCTTTTACAAGTTTATTTACATTGATTTCTATTTATATATTTATCATATTTTGTAATTATTGAAATGTTTCAACGTGAAATAATAGGCCTGGGCTGGCCAAGCCAAGCCTGGCATGGCGCAAACTCCACCGACCGAGGGACAAGGGGAATGTATGCCTTTTCTTGACGAGGCTAGGCCTTTCTCTTCATCTAGTCAGGCCTAGCTTAAGCCTGCTCTCTTCTGACTCCGTCTAGGGCCAGAACCTCGAATAGGTTAGTTTAGACAAGGAAGGTTGATAGAAACAATGTCAGATTTTTAAATATTTAAAAACGGGGGGAATTTTTTTTTTTTTTGGAAGTGGATTTACACGGTGACCGTAAACAAATCTGTAAATGATACATTTACGTGAAATAAGTAACGCCTGCAGTTATACTTTAAAAAACTTAAACTTAAATTTATCGATTCTGGTTATACAGTATGTACGTATTTTACATCAATTCATTTTGTATAATTTTATTAAATATACAGAATCTTTTTATGTAATTTTGATACAGTATATAATTATCTCTATGATATCTACTTTACACTAATCTTTATTATAGAATGTTTTTATTGGAATTTTATTGTATTTGAATATTTTAATGATTTTATGTGTTTTTTATGTTACAACTCAGGAATTAAAATGTATTATTTTTGTGATGAACAATAAATCAGGATCTAAATCTAATTTGTCTTGCAGAAATTAGTTATGCCTTTGAATCAAGAGCGAAGAAAAAGGTGAATATATAGCAAGCAGTCAATAGCGTTGCCAGTGTGGGGAGGGGGTGGAGGAAGTGAAGTCAGGTTCCCCCAGTTGGACCAAACATATTAATTTGCCTAACCAAATATTGTAATATTGATTGTGATTCCATATTTGGTTGTCTAAAAGCATACTTATTACTAAGCCATAAAACCTCTCCCTGTGAACTGTACACTAGCAGGTTTTACTCCCAAACCCTGACAGAGGCTCTAGTCGGCCTCTTGTTTTTGGACCCCCTTGCGGGCATATTTCTAGAGACAACGCTTATAGCAGTGCTGATACTTAATTGTCATACGCATGAGTAAAACATAAAACATGCTTTTGCTTTCCATTTTTAATCTTTATTAATATCTCTTAAAATATATTCAGCAAGGTGTCCTTCCTTTACTCATTTTGTATCATTATTTTTTTGTAAAAAGCAGAGGAAGGAAGAAAGCCAAAATAGAGGAGGAGGCAATGGCTGTTGATGAATCCACTACTACTGAATTGAAAAGGTAACATATGTGACTTCTTTTTTCCTCTGTTTCAGATTTATAATGATATAGCCATAAAAGTCATATTTCTTGTCATTTCTTTATATGGGTCTCCATGCCTCTATGCCTCCATTTTTACAGTAATTCATATGCGTAGCAGCATCGTCTGTGTGTGTAGGCCTAGAAGAATATCTTTTTGATCGTGGTTTTTATTTAGCATGGAATTTCATGTTGAGGCATAGGCCTGGATAAATTGTCAAGAAGACACATATTTCCAGCTTATAATATCACTTTTATTTGAAAAGCTACACAATTTAATGATTGAAATAAAATGCTACTGTACCAAGTCAAATATGTTTAATAAAAACAGCAAAATTATAATTAATCAGCTATTTACGAACATCAAACTTTGTGGTTTAATCTTTTTGGCTCGTAACTGTTTACAAAATACATGTGAACCTATTTGAGGATTCCCGATGTTCGCGGATTTGCCGTCGATTCGATCCATGCGTTGTTCAATAATGAGTAGATATTCCTTCAAGCTTGTATTTTAACAATACTATTTTTGGCAAGATTTGATTTTTGTACACCACAGATTCATTGGTACATTCAATCATAATATAGCTGTGATCTATTTTTTCCAGCCGGAGGGAGGGTGTTGTCGGCGACCACGGATCCCTGGGGTGGGTGTGGTTGCTGACCACCATTTCAAAATGTTGTTGAGAACCCTGTACATCTACCCATAATATATTGAGAACTTTGCTTTTCCGCCAGGGATGACAAGAAAGAAGATGGGACGTACACTGTACATAGAGTAAAGTTCTTCAACTACCAGCCAAATGCAATTCATTGCCTTGCTTACGATGAAAACCGTGAACGTTTGGCTGTTGTCAGGTCGGATGGCTCAATTGAAATCTGGAATTTGAAACACAATTTCAATCAGGAACGAGTAAGTACCCCTTAGCTTAGTGAATAATGCTGGCAGGTACAGTTGGGTTTGGAGGGAGTAAGTATTGTTTGCTCTTTAATAAAGGGAAAAGAGTACTACCTAGCTTATTGAGAAATCATATTTTATCATAATTGCCAAGTTGAATGCTATATCAGATTTGATTTTCAGAAACAGGTGATATGCCTAATTGTAACCTAGTTTTTTTAAGAATCTTAATTTATGCTACGGCCACTTTCTACTAGCACCATTTAAGATATAATGTTGAATTCTTAACCAAATTATTTTTGGTTTTATATGTATTTTAGCATTTTCATGAAAACCCCTCAGCATAAGTGTTGATTTCTGTTGAGTTGTAAGTGGAATGCAAGACAAAATGTGGACATCCAATGCAGTTGATCTCATGTGATCTCCTGCTATTTCACGCCACATACACATATACTCATTGATTTACATACATATCTAATATTTTCATCATTTAGTATAGTCATATTCCATACACTAAATGGGGATTGTTGCACAAAGCATTGAATTTAATTCATTGTCTCAGCCTGTAGAGCTCAAAGGCTATTTTTAAATGGAAGAAAAGTGTATGGAAATAATATGAGAGTATTTCCTTTGTTTTTAGTTTCTTAACTGTTGCATTGATTAACATAACTAGCATAAGCCTAGACCTATTCTAGGTGTAGTAGGTAATTTTAAAGTGTCTTTAGTTTCAATAAATGTCCAGGCCTGGCCAGAGTCATATTTGCATGATCAGCAATCTTTTAGAATAGTCCCCTGATGTGGGTTTCCTTTGGTCTTAGTTTCGTTTTCTTAAATTTCAAGTATTAATACCATGTCTTGCTTGCACATCCCTTTTGTTTGTGTAGGCGTATATCTAGGTAAACTTCGAAATGAAACAGAAAATAGATTTTGGCTATTAAGGAAAACATCAAAAAACAATGTTAAATTTGAAAATCATCTCATAGTTTTGATACAGGAAAATTACTTTGTAGGTCAAATGACAATGTCACAATTGACTTACCGGTATATAGTGCATTTTAATAAAATAGCATTATTGAATAGTATACAATTTTATTGACATAAAAAAAATATATTTTCTTTAATTTTTTTGTAGATAATAACTGGATCACAGACAAGTAAATTAGACTCAGTAGCGTGGGTCAATGGTCGTTTGTTTACCACTGGTTTCCAAGGTGATATTACCGAGTATGACTTAGTGAAGAACACTGCTAAGGTAACTAGATTGAGGCGTTAAACAGCTTTTTAATTTATTATTATAGAGTTGTAGCTGTAGAAAAATGTGGATCAATGTTAGACTTGGGTGGGTGGGTAAACTAATAGCTAAACTCTAAATAATAAGGGACTGGATTTTAAGGATGGGTAAGGAGTTTAATAGAGGTGGGTGGAAGGCCATGGGGTGGGGGGGAACTTCAAAGGTGAGTGGTAACATCAAGGCTCGATGGCTCCGCCCACTATAACTATATTCCACTTATTATATTTAAAAGTTAAACAGTAAAATTAAAGAAAATACAATAAGATATTATGTTAGATGAAAGCTTACATACTGTAAACTAAAGTGTTGATTGTTAAATAAAATGTATCTGTTAGGCCAAAAAAAAAAATACTTGTTTAGCGTCACACCCTCAGAAATCTTCAGGGGTGGGGGGGCGGATTTTTTTAAAATTAAAAAAAAAAAATTTTTTGCTGACTTAGGCCTAGCCTAGGCCCTAATGTGTAGGCTTCTTAGGCCTAGAGATTTCAAAAACTGCATTGGTGCCAAGCCAAAATTTTTACAAAGGCTATAACAGACACTAAATTTTACATAAAAGATTTGTTTGTACAATATTTATTTTAATAAGCATTGTGGTTCTAGAAAATCAGGGTCGGGTGGTGACACTAAATAAGTATATATTTTTTTTTGGCCTTATTGGCTATTGTTCTTTAAATTTTCTCTGAAGTGGTTCTTTTTTTTCCCTTTCTAGTACTCTGTACTATATGGTAATGCCTCTTGGTGTCTGGCGCCAAATCATTCTGGAACATTACTTGCTGTAAGTAAAAACATAATTTGTTACGGTTTCCATATTCAATAATTCAACACTTTGTCAGACAACATCCGCTTGAATATTTTCACAGCGTTCTCTTAAATGGATTTGGTTTGCTGATTGTTCTCCGGAGGATTATTTTTATTCATGCGTGTAATTCAACATAAATACATTATAAACATTCACATTGTACTAGGCGTATGGTGTATTTAAGGGGATATGGGAGAGCTGCACACCCCAAGAAGTAAGATTTTCGACCCTAGGGTATCCTTCACTGACAACTTGGTAAATAAAAAAATATTTGTGCCTCCGACCATAAAAATTGTTTTGATAAAATGCCTCCGGCAACAAGTGATATCTGTGCACTATATAATCCAACGGTTTCTTTAAATTTGTTTCCCCCAAAATGCCTACGGGACATTCATGATGCCTTCGATTGCCGGTATTGCGGTCATGCACTTTTTCCAGCACTGTAGTAAAAGAATCCCCTCTTATCAGCATATTTCTCCTGGCTGTAGCACAGTTCTTCAATTTCCCATCTCATTAAGTTTTCTCATCACCCAATCAGCTACGACTATAAAAAACACCTCTGGTGTGGCTATCAATTTACAATCCATCATGCATCACAGCTTATTGACAATAACGCTCAGTTTACGTTATTAATTAATGCTAGCTTAGAATGACGGCAAACATTAATTAGGTCTGGTGTGACTGTAGTGAACTACAAAAATACTTCAGTAAAATTGAATATTTCAATTGATTTCTTTCTATTTAATTAAAACTCTTCCACTATTCCAAATATAATGTGTATATCTAAGTAAGTCTTTCAATTGCTAATTAAAAAAGGAAAACATTTCTTCTGCAACTGCAATATACTGCCATTCTTGATTCTTTTGCATATACACTTAAATTTTCCTGCTGATAATTTAAGTTTTCAGAAGTAAGATGTCTGTAAATGAGCTCGTGTTTGCGTCTGTTTCCATTTGAAGTTTTACACAGTCAACCAATCTTAAATTCTCATCCATTGACAAAAGTTCAAAGTCTTAACACTAAATTTTTAGACTTTCACATTCTTTGCGGTTATATATACGTCATTTAAATTTCCAAGTAATTACAAACGGCAACAATCCAAGAAAATAAATTTTTATTTCTCAATCTTGATGATTGTTTCTCAAAACTTACATGAAATTCTAAGCTTTCACGTCATTTGTGGTTTGAATATTTTACATTTTTGATTGTTCACATAATTACAGACAGTTCAACAGTTACTTTAAGTTATGAATACCATATTTATTATAAATATTTATATAAGTACCTAATAATATACAGCAGTTTATTTTTATTGGTGTTGCAGTAGTATGAGACAACATTCATTCAATAGAATCAACCTCAAAATTGTTTGTAAAACTCTAAACATTCTGAGGGTTGTATCCTGTTACTGCCTTTATGTGCACGTAGTCTCATATTGATCCAATCTGACTTTTATTATTTTATACTGTAGCGAATTGAATTACAGGTTTCCCTCTAATTAAAGACCCCTCCAATTTAAGACAACTTTCCTGTGGCCCTTGAATATCCGGAGATGTCCGAAAGGGAGGAGGGAGCGAAATGGGGGCCGAAAATGGGGCTGATTGAGATATCATCGTCCTAAAGAGTCCGGGGGAATGCCCCCGCAAAATGTTTGTGTTCTAGATGCCTGAAAATAACTTCTAAAGCGTTTTGGCCGATCAATTTTTTCTTTTCCTTTCTTTCTTTTTTCGTTTTATTTTTTAACTTTTCAAAAGGGAGAAGATCTGCCCCTGCAGGGGACAGGTTTTAAAAATCAGAAACCTGCTAATTATGAAGGAACTTGGGACATCTGTGAGTTGGTTGCACTTTACGAGACTAGACTAACTGTTGTCACTTACTGATTGTATACAGTAAATATATCATGAACTTTCACCTCACCGAAAGGTCCACTGATTAATCTTAGATAAGATAGTATAATACATACTCCAAGTATCGAAACGCATGCCCTTGTGTTGGGATTTAATATTTCGACATTAATTATGTCATCATCATCATCATCCCTGATGATGACATAATTAATGTTGAAATATTGAATCCCGACACGATGGCGTGCATTTCGATACTTGGAGTATGTATTATACTATCTTGCACCTCAATGTCTTGTAAATCAAGTTATTGATAGGCAAAATTATACTGCTTGCTGGGAAGTTGATGTAATGTTGTCAAATAAAAAATCAATGTGAAAGGTTTTTTCTTATAATCAGTGGCAATAAACAAAAAGGTCTGAGGCTTTTGCATAAGGCTTCTTTGGTGCACTGCTACCAAAGAGTATAAAACTGCAAGAGGTCCGACTGCCCTTATTTTGTATGCAGGCAATGGATCGTTAAAAAGTACTCCCACGAAGAGGCGTGTCCTTCATAAGAATGTAAAAGGCGTTTGCATCAAACGCGTGCTGCGTTTTGAATTCCAGCATACATTCTATAGATGCGCAGCACGCGTTTGATATGATCGCACTTTACGTTCTTTTAAAGGCCACGTCCCTTTTGGGTAGTACTTTTTGAAATAGGATTGCGTTCCAAAGAATCCCCGACAGTCGGACTCTTGCAGTTTTATACTCTTTGCTGCTACCCTGTGGGCAACCTCAGCCCCTTTCAGCTTATTTGAGGTAGTAAGGAAATATTTTGATGGGTTTTTTTTACACATTAGTACCCGCTTGGTCAGTGTATGTGGGAAAATGCTGATAAATATTCCCAAGGCATTTTAGGCCTAGGGCCCTATCTTCAGCAAATGAGATCTCATAACTACTATGCCACTGCCCATAATCTCTAAACTTGCCTCATCATTCATGTTTGCCAGTATGTATGTAAAAATCCCAACCAGGGCTGGAAACATCACCAATACACTTGTCTTGTAAATTTAGTTTAACTACAGTAGTTATTAATAAGAAAACTTGCAGGGGAAATTACAAAATGTTGTCACATCGAAAATCAATGTTTGTGATGTGAATGTCACTCCAAAAGTTGTAGAATAATATCTTTCCTTAATCTCTAGACTCTCCTTATACATAATATTTACCAGGAGAAAAAGCCCCCAAACATCACCAATACACTTGTCTAGTAAATCAGGTCGAACTAGTTATTGAATTAAACACTTGCTAGAGAAATTTACATAATGTTGTCATATCGAAAATCAATGTAGGTAAAATTAATATGTTACTCCAAAATGTGTGGAATAATATCGTCCCATAATTTCTAGACTTTCCTCCTTCATCATATTTACCAGGAGGAAAGCCCCCAAACATAACCAATACACTTGTCTTGTAAATCAAGTTGAACTAGTTATTGATAGGAAGACTCGCTTGGGAAATTCACATGCTGTAAATGTTATCACATCGAAAATCAATGTGAAATAAATATGTCACTCCAAAAGGTGTGGAATAATATCTTTTCATAATTTCTAGACTCGCCTCATTCATAATATTTACTACAGAAGGTAAAACCCCCAAACATCATCTGATATTGGTTGAGCCATTGGCTGAGAGGTATTGTTCCTGCTTCTTGTGCTGGAACCCTGGTTCAAGCCGGGCCAGCGTCGGGTTTTAATTGGAGTCTCATCACTTTGCCCCTTGAATTACCCTCATACTGAGAGTTGGGCGAGTTAAGGACGATGTTTGCATCTATATGTGTCTGTTACTGTATATGTTGTAGTTAAGTCGGGTGGCGATGCACTGCGACTGGCCTGGATCCCAAGGGACCCAGCCCAAATTTCAAATTGATGATGATGATTATTATTATTATTATTATTATTATTATTATTATTATTATTATTATTATTATTATTATTAATAATAATAATAATACACTTGTCTTGTAAATCAAGTTGAAATACTTATTGATAAGAAGGCTCACTGGGGAAATTCACTTAATGTTATCACATCAAAAATCAATGTGAAATAAATATGTCACTTCAAAAGGTGTGCAAGAATATTGTTAAAAAATTTCTAGACTCGCCTTATTCACCATATTTACTACAGAATTTAGGTAGAGTTTCCAAACATTACCAATACCATTACTGTACAAGCCTGAACTTGTAAACTACTGAGATTTTTTTTTCTATATCAAAACAAACTCTGATACCGTACCGTGTTTTGTTGCTTATCGTTCTGCTTGTTTAAGCTTAGCGTGGATTATTTGTGACTCCGTGCTTTGCATAAAACATTACAAACACTTATATATAGCATATACATGTTAAATATTTCAGTATGCTTTGGAAAAGAGCAGGTGTTTGTCTTCGGCGTTCTGTCCAATCCACCACCGAAAAGAAATAATAAATCTCATCACGAGGCGTATGGAGTGAAACTGTTTTAGTCCTGAGGGAAAAACTCCTGACGTTTAGCAGTACAGGATCAAAGCCAAGCAAACCATCAAGCTACAACTTCAATTCACTAGTAACAAACTTTGCTATGATTTTATAACAATTGTATTTATTTGCAGACTGGTAGTGATGATGGATGTGTAAGACTTTTTGACCTGACAACTGAGAAAGTTTCCTATGACAGAACAATGAACCCCCAGGCCCAACGGATTGTGTCACTCGCATGGCATAAATCAGATGAAACCATTGTTACAGGCTCAATAGATAACATTAAAGTGTGGAATGTTGCAACAGGTAAACTCTTATCCACGAATATTTATGTATGCAGAGTGTCTCCTCACAACTGTTTTGTAGATACTGTAATTTCTTGTGGATTAGTGTACCAGAAGAGTCAGATTATGTCTTCTTTCTGGAAGCCATTCTGTGACAAGATAGTGTAGTTTGGTGCTTTCAAATTCTGAAATACCAGATTGTTTGTTTTTAATAATCAAAGCAATTGGAATGTTGTGTTACAAGCAATAATCACCATCTTTGACCAAGAGTATTTTGAACACTGTTACAGTCTTGGGATGCATTTATTTCGGGTCATATGTAATATAGCACCATAACCCAGTAGTACAACGTAGATTCATTGTAGAACTGAAAGAGTTGGCTATCTCTCCTCGGTTAGCTGTTGTGAACCACTGATTGGTCAATTGTTATTGTATATAATAGTGCTTTATTGCCTGTGCAGGACTGAGGTGTCCTTGCAAAGCACCCAGTTTTCACTTACAATCATTAATAGCCGGCATCGAGCAACAGTGATTAAACCAGTGAAGATTCATTCCTGACAAACACCAAATACAGAGAGTTAAAATATTAAATCCCAACATGAGTTTTTGGACTCCTTTGGATGAGAATGAAACTTTAGCCATTGTAGTAATTCATATTCATAATTCAAAATTGGAGTGTGTGGAAAGGGCTTAATAAATAATAATTATTTAAAATAGGGGCTGCTGTTCAACGGATAACACTTCAGCGGGCTTTCAAGAAGCGGGAGAACATTGTGTGGTGTGTGGCAATCCTCACGGACTATACCATTGTGAGTGGGGATTCAACTGGCCGTACAATTTTCTGGGATGGCCGTGTTGGAACAATGTTGAAGGTACAGAAGTATAAATAAAAAAATATTTGCATACAATAAAAATAGCAATAAGTATACGATACTATATTAATTACTATGCTCGACGGGACCGCCATGCTTGGGTGAAAAAACGAAATGACCGCCACGCTTAGGAAAAAAAAGCCAAGATTGCATTACGCTTAAAATGTCACCTCCACACTAAAAAAATATTTACTATGTATATTTTATTCAAAACGTTACAACAATAAATACCGAAGTGTCGAACTCATGGGGAACAGTACTTGTTCAATCGCATCGTGAGGCACCACCTTCAATGCAAGCCCAATTGTAGGATCCCTTTGTACGCCGCCTATACGTGCAAGTAGGTACCTCTGAACTCAGGGAGGTCCCTGGTCAGCGAGTGGAGGGCGCGTTCATTACCGTACATGCGTGACAATTGCAATATAAATATGCTGGGCTCTCTTCCAAATAAACTAAAGCACCATACAAAATTAAACAAACCATAGCAGATAGAAAGATTGTGAATAGAAAGACAATAAGAATAAAAATGAGAAATAGATCAGAAACCTATTTTTTGGATTTTACTTCAATCATATACTTTTGTTTTAGTATTAGCCAAAAATAATATACAAATATTGACTGCTCATGAGGTCAGTGGTGAAATCTATTAGATTTCACCATTACCCGAATCTAGAGCAGGCAATATTTGTTTTATATATTGCACCTCATACTGTACATAGATTCTACAAGGTCTAAAAAAGTACTTACTTCCTAGCCTAGCCTAGATGCCTACTAACTAGGGTCTAGGCGATCAAAGAGTGTGTCTAGCTTTTCTTTTTTCATTTCCTCAATTTCAACAGCACCCATCGTCTTGCAATATTTGTCGAATATTGACAAGACATATTTAGTTTGTCTTTTGGTGCTTTTGCTATCAGCTTCTTCAAGAAGTATAGGCCTAGGCTAGTCCTTCATCCAGGAGTTTGAACCAACCAGCCTCCACAATTATTATTGTTTATCGTCTACTCATCTATCCGCTGCGCGGTCAAGGGCCAATCTCTTTCTTCGTAAAGGTCGCAGTCCCCTCTACTATCGGCGCAATGGTGGGGCCTAGAGTATGCACCATGCGACAGGGCAAAAAAGTACTATTTTTTAGGGGAATAGTCTTTTTTTAGGGGAACAGTACTTTGTATTGCCCACTTAACCAATCAGATGCCTAGAATCTATGTAGGCCTATGAGGTATATAAAAAATTATATATTTTTTCTCCAATTTTCATTGCTAGGGTTACACAAGTCATCGGATGGATATTTTGTCCTTGTGTGTGACCAAAGATGAGAAATCTGTGTTTACAACCGGTGTCGATCCAACTATAGTACAATTCAGCCTGTCGGTGACTGACGGGCTGGACGGTGCCAGATCCTGGGTCAGAAGCAGGCACATCACTCATGGCCACACCCATGATGTCAGGGCTATGGTGATTGCTGGGAATTTTTTGGTGTCTGGAGGTAAGCATTTGTGGGTACATCATAATGGATTGTTTAAAATGTAGTAACTGTTGAGGCCACACTAGTACAGGCCTGTAATCCGAGGGAGTTTCTATAGCACGCATGGCTGAACCTCCTTTTTGAGCAAAACTCTTCTCATTTGTTGCTTATCAAACAAATATAAAATCACTTGCACACTAGAATGTTTCAGCTTCAGGAGGTTAGACCTCTGACCCCCACAATTGCTCTCTTGGACCCCATCTGGGCATCCTCTCCATTGGTGGCGCAGCAGGAGCTCGGAAAAATTACTTGTATACCTGTTGGACAAACATGGATCGCCTGTCATTCGCCATCAAGACAAGGTTGTTGGAATAAATTATTAATTTGCAACTCGAATGTTAAATATGTGATTGCCAATCCCTAATATTGTGGTTTAAAGGCACAATTTGCGCCATTCTATATCATAAATCTCTCCCCATGAACCTCACCAGCGATTTTATTTTGGCACTCTGTCCGAGGCTCTACTTGTACCCCTTGGTTTGGACCCCGGTTGTCAGTCTTCGCAGTTTTCTGGAAATTTCTAATCACACACTTGCCATTGTAACCAATCTCATCTTTTTATATCTGATTAATCATTTTATCAATATCATGTTAATAGCATTCTCATGAAAACCCCTCAGCAGAAGTGTTGATTTCTGTTCGAGGCGTAAGCGGAATGCAAGAAAAAAATGTGGACATCCAATGTAGTTGATCTCATGTGATCTTCTGCTATTTCACACCACATACAAATGAGAGTGTTAGAAGATTTTAAAGTATTTTAGTGAATTGCGCCTGCTTTTAATGAAATTACTAAACTGCCGGTGCAGATTCTATGTCGTCTCCCTCTTCGCCAAGGAGTGGATACCTTGTAGGTTTGAATACTGATGTAATAATGGACCTTACCGGAGTGTCAATCAAACTGACCAATCACTAAAGGGCCAGAAATACATGTGTGCCCTACAAACACATGTTGTCCGACAAATGCATGTATTTGCGTATGTTTTTACACTGTCATTTATGTGGGATCTGAGCAACAATATTCAACTGGCAATGCTAGCAGAACGGTTCATTACTAGCTACAAAATTGTGAAATACTCCCTCAGAGATTGGAGTGGGCAGGGCTCCAAAGTCTCCCGGGTTGGCCTGGAGTCTCCTGGAATTTTGCTTCATCTCCCGGTCTCCCGAAAATTCCACATTTTCTCCCGGAATTTGAATAATCTCTTGTATTTCATCAGGATTTTTAACAGATTTTCATAATTAGGGCTTATGCTAAGCTAAATTTTCCCATTCTATGCATTAAATCTGGCAGAACTACGATTTATTGAATATTCTAGACAGCAAGGTGGTATTAACAGTGACCTAAACCTGCCCAAGCCTGTTTGTTTTTAAATTGAATGAGGGCGATAAATTTAAGCATGCGTGTCCTTGTACATGCATTTTAGCTAGCACCCTAAATCTCTGCCTGTCTTGCACGACAAAATCTCTAGGAATTTGACTTTCACAACTTGGGACCCCTGAGTAGGTGTTTGTTAGGTGTTTAATCAAGTAGCTGAGATAATAATGTGAAGTACTTAAATGCCTTGTCATGATCCACTGTAAAATATAAAATGTTTATTGCTATTTTCCAATGGAAATCATTTTAAAAATTTCACACAGGAAACAGCTTAGCTTAATAATGATAAAAATATTAATAGTTTTATTCAGTCGTATAAAGTCTTGTAATATATTAATGTATTTTTATTACATTTTTTGTCCTCCTCCAGGTCTTGATACCAACTTGGTAACCAATCCAGTAGATGTGTCACCTGGGCAACCACAGATGAGAACTCAGATGGAGCAATACAAAAGAGTTTACCCTCCCTTCCCACAGGTACTATCTATACTACTTTATTTCATAAGCAACAAGAGCGACCGCTGACCGGTCCGCTTGTTCCTCCACGCTTGGAAGAGCGATTAAAATAGAAATTTTTAAATAATTAGAATGTTTATTTGTACAAAACAAATTATTATTTACAATGTTCATTTGTACAAAATTAAAATATCTTAAAATTGAAAAAAATAAAATTTCTTAAAATTGGAAAAAAAAAGAAGAGATTTAATACCAAGACACGAATTGAACTCACATCCTTAAGTTCTTTAAAACACATTCTTAACCAACAGCGCCTTCCATTCAACATGCCCTAGTAGTGGTAATGGCAGTAATATACAGTCCTTGCTGAAACCCCTGTTTTGTTTTGTAGGTGTAGGGGGAACCATGGGGTTCAAATTTAAAAAAGGGTGATGAACGTTTGTTGGAAATTACCTCTAGTTTATGTGTACAAAATTTCCTGCACAGCTGTTCAAAATTGGCGATGCTGGACTCTTAAAGTTCTGGGAACAAGAGCAAGAACAGCAGTGAGGGCTTTTGGGGTCAGCACCTTGCGCAGACCCGAAAAGAAAGAAACAAAAAAATGGTAGAACAAAGATTAGAAACCACATATCTGTATATGTGGGTAATTTTATTGCAGTACTAGAGCTAGTGGAGAAGCCCTAAAAAATGTATTTACTCCTATTGGAAGAGAAGACTATTCTTTGGTATTTGGTGATTTTTTTACTGATTAATATCACTGTTTTACCTTTCCCTCCTCACTATTTACACGTGAATATGACCTGTTTGTCCCTTAGACAACTCAGACAAATATATCAGACAATTACATAAATATTTAACATCCATAAAAATGTCATCGCATTCTCATGAAAACCCCTCAGCAGAAGTGTTGATTTCTGTTGAGGCGTAAGCGGAATGCAAGAAAAAATGTGGACATCCAATGCAGTTGGTCGTCTTATATGATTTCCTGCTATTTCACACCACATACAAATTACCATACACACTTACAAACTGATATCATCACTTCATTACTTCATTCATTAATATTCATTTATTAATCTTTAATTTATTCATTTATTTATTTATTTTATTATACTTTGGTTATTCATTTATTTAAATATAATTTGTACAATTATTCATTTATTCTGAATTTGTTCATTTATTCGTTGTTTCATTCTTTTATGTATTCATTTATTCTGTATGTTTATTAGTCTGTATATTTATTCATTCATTCTATATGTTTATTCATCTCATTTATTCTATATGTTTATTCATTCATTCTATATGTTTACTCATCTCATTTATTCTATATGTTTATTCATTTATTCTGTATATATGTTCATTTATTCTGTATGTTTATTCCATGTATTCATTCATTCATAAGTTTGTATATTCTTTACTTCATTTCATTGCTCAGTTTTTATTCATTCCTCATTTCAACTTTACATATCTATGTCAAAGGTAGTGCTTTATAAAACAGTCAGATTAAACCAGTGTTTGTATTTTGATCAATCACTATTTTGGCATTTCTGAGTCTTTTTGATGTATAGTAGGAACATACTACAATAAACTCTTAAATCTGTTAAATAAATTGTATATATTGCAGAAACTACATTACCCATCGACATTCATTCATTATTGTTAATATTTTAATTATTAAACTTTATTGACTTTTTATATATGTTATAAATTTTTAATTATGATTTTTTTATTACCTTTCTGCTGTGATTATTATGTTTGTATAGCAATAGAAAAATATTAATATTTTTCAAGGTCTTATATTTACATAATTATGTATTAAAATTAATACCAAAATTTGAAAAAAAAATAACTACATATTTTTTTCCATAGAAATCATTAATAGATTGTGCTGGAAGAGCTAAGCTGTTATTATTTCAGTATCCTTATCACCTTGAGGTCTGGAAGCTGGGATCAACATCCATCACCTCAAGTAAGCAGTCAATATTAATCCATTGTAAATTTTTCTATTGCAATGCATCCTGGGAGAAATGCATAATGAATCCCATCTGGCTCGAACCAATGACTGTAAAACTAGTGGCGGTGTACCTAACTGTCAGACCACACTACAGTTCTTATTTTGCATTTTACAGAATTAATTTGTACATTTGTTTCTCCCTCTTAGATAAAGATGGAGAATCATTGCCAGTTTCAGAACGGCCAATCAAAATACTTGATATACAAACCAAGGTAAATATGACCAAACATGCAGAAATTTAGTGGCAGGATTTCATGTCATCATTTTCACTAAACTGCATTCTTAAGCTCCAAACTATCACATTTTATTTGACAAAAACATGAAGCATACCTAAATATGGTCATGATGACATCATATCATGACCATATATAGGCACATCATGACTATATATGGGCATACAACAGTTTTTTGATAGTCCTGGACAGAGCTTTAGTGATCTACCTTAAAACACCAAATAGAAGCCCTGGGCATCTTTTTTTTGGAGCCTTGGATGAGCTTCTTGTAGAGATAAGCATGTTTTCGAGATTGCTTTTGCATACTAAAGACAAGGCTTCTTCTCAAATTGAATGCTGTAAATTTTGGAATTGCTATTATATTCAATATTATTCAACTATGGAATTTGAAATTCTGTTTAATATTTAAATTTTAAATCATGCTAGTACAGTAAAATAATGTTGATACTGACCAGTCATCATAAATCAAATATAACTTCGGTCTGAATGCAAGTACTCTCGAAAAGGAAGCCCATATCATCTTGATTAGAAGTCCATGGATTTCTTTTCGAGATGGGTTTCTTTTTGAGATGGGCCTATCACCATTAAGCCCATGGGGCTTCTATTCGAGGTTTTACGGTATGTTATGATTAACTGATGCAGACATAGCATCATTTTGATATATAGGTGCATTTGGTGGTGAAATATAATGGCTGTGGGGCTGTGAAAACAAGTGACACTTCGGTAAAGATATGGATTTCTGGTCAGTTTCAGTTTTTAATAACTCTCAACTTTTCAAGAGTGGCACACACTATACAGTGGTGCATCCATGCTTACTTAATTACATAACAAAAAAGAGTGAACCAAAAGTAAAATTGGAAATGAAAAGGCAAACAGTAACATCAAACATCAGGGACTTTAACAATTATAATTTAAGAAAAATCAAAGAAATAAAACATCTAATTATACAAAATGCCAATCTCAAAAATGGAATATTCTAAAGTAAAGGGCGTACAGAATTTAAACATACCGTATTGCCGCAATAAGCAAGTAAGGAATTAACAAAAACATAACAGTGGTACAGTGTGAAAATAGAGTTAAACTACATGGAATGACCAGATAACCTCATCCCAAACAATGAGAATACAGTACTTGTACATTTCTGTAAGGTAAATAAATTAAGAGACTTAAGTAACATTAATGATAATAATGAACATTTAAATCGCAATCGCAAGATTAGGATTTAATAACCTAACAATATATAGTATATTATATGGACCTTTAAATTGACTAGAAACCAATTAAAATATCATAGTCAATAAAGGTCTGGAAACCTGTAAAATCAATATTTGTGTCTCACTAGAATCTAAAATTCATAACCTATCAAAATGAGCAATCAAATTGATGTTTTGATTAAATTTTTGCATTTGGTTTTTTTTTTATTGTCTTTAATTTCCTACTTTCTAATGTCCCACCTAAAGTACGAAACTGCCAATTGAAACAAAGTTCATCTACAATATTTCTATTGTATCCATAAATCAGGTATGTAAAAAAAATATTTGTAGAAACAGTAATTTAGATGTGCAACTGTTCTCTTGCCTATCAGAGTGTTGTGAAGTGAAACAATGAGATAAACTCCAGGCTTAATTGCAGAGCCAATTTTAAGCACATGGTGTAAAAGAAGATTAATCACGGTAGTTAATTCTTAAAGAGGTATGCAGAACAAATCAAATCAAATATATTTATTTTTTTACAATCAACATTAGCAGTATTTAAGGAGATGTATATATTTACTTGTTTTAATCATTTTGTATAAGCTTGAATCCATTGCCTTACAAAATGAATGACAACATCCTGAGTATTCTTTTTTATTAATGGTGATAATTCAGTACATAATCTACACATACGTGTCGACACTAAATTGTGCGGTACACATGAATACTGGTCCGTTGGCAAATGGTTGCCATGTCATTCCAAATCACGCTACTAATCAAAAATCAAAATATGTTTAAAAGCTAAGTGGGTTTTGATCTTTACATACTATTTCAGTTTGCATTATCACAGTATATTGTTATGGTCTTTATGTTATTTTTCTAAATGTGAATACTTTGAAATCTGTCATTATTCCACTCAACTTGAAAAATTTGAAATACCTAAAATATTCCACATTGTATTAATTAAATATCGGGTAATACGGAGTCGTAGTCGGTAGAAACACGCTGAATAAAGCTACATTCACATCCTAACCAAAATTCGAACTGCGTTTTCAAAGCGCTGATTGCCAGCATCTCTATTCTTACACACTGATTCAATTTTCTGATCGCTTCGGTATGCTTTCCGATCCGCAAATTTGAATGTACCTTTACGCACTTATGTAACCTGCCCCTTTAAGCAAAACTATCATTGGTTAATTCAGTTGGCTTGTTCAAAGGTAATTTACCTGTAAAAGATTTATATTGGATAAGCCTTTTCACCTGTAAATCAGTACAGGTGATGCAATGCATTATCGTGTAGGCCCATCACGCTACATTGAAGCTATTAATACCTGCCAGGATTTGCATTCTGATTTATGTTTTGCATTAAGTGCAGACATAGTTGTGTGTAGATTGTCTGACCTGATATATGTTATAATTAGCATCCGTTTCAATAGATTAAATATATGCTGTCTTTGCTATGTTCTCTTCTCTAAATTTGTCCGTATCTTTATATTTGCTACTTTTTTGCGTCATTTGAACGTCCTGAATGAAGTGCTATTTTTCTGTAAATCTAAAAATAGATTATGACATTGTTATTTTCGTTATTGCTAGGAGACACAACATTCATAATAGTCCTCATATTTTTCTGTTGAATTTTGACCATTGACATACACATACAGTACAGTAAAATGATGATTATCGAATCATCATCCCCATCAATAACTTGATCATTATTTTATTTTGTTTTTACTAAGTCATCAAAGGGGCTATTAGGACAGAAACAAAAGATTGGTGAAATATAAATCCCAGAAACTTATTGAATCAATCATCACTATCATCATTGTCACCAATGTCATCATCATCATCATTACCACTATCGTCATCACTATCATCATTATCATCATCATTATCTTTATTATCATCATCATTATCAGGATCAAGATCGTCATCATCATCATTTTAATCATTATCGTCATCAGTGTTATCATCACCATTATCATTGTCATCACTATCATCACCATCGTCATCATTACTGTCATCGCTATCATCACCATCATCCTCGTCACTATCAACAACAGTTGATCTAATTAATTTTGTCTAGAAAGTTAAAAATTAAAGTAAATTTTTTAAATTTTTGGTACTCTTTATTATTCTTGCATTCTTTTTTTTCTGGCCTATCTTTCAAGGCTCTAATATAAAGCTTAGGGGAAGGGTGAACAAGCAGTGGCGTATCTAGGGGGTGCAAGTGGGGCACATGCCCCTCCAAAAAAATTACTCGGGGGCCCCCCCCCAGTCACACCCAAAAAAATCACGATCATGTAGTTAAAAATCACCAAAAATCACCTTATTTTGCCAGTTAGCGCCCCTCAACTGTTATCGAGCCCCCCTCTACTTCACCTTTGCAACCTTCATGAGCACCCCCACTTCAAGACTTCTAGATACGTCACTGTGAACAAAGCTTGGCACCTTTGTATTTGTTGTACTCCCCCTTCCCTTAACAAGCTCTATTGATTTAGCAGATGTGAATAATTGATCATTCCATTTGACAGGACATCAATTAAATAAGTATTATGGCTCTTGAATAATCGTTACTGTTTTAGCTTTTTTTTGCAATTGATTTATTAATGTTAATTATTCTTTGTTAGCTGTTTTTTTAATTGCTTAATGTTTAAGGTGTCTGTCTTACTGTCTTAAACAGGTGCCACTATACGTATTTCATTTGATATTTCATGTAACAGACTAATATGGCTCCAACTTTTATTGTCTTAAACATGGAAATCGGTGGATTTAATTTTGTTTTTCTTTTATAAATGTAATACTGTACTAAGCAATTTTTAATTGATATCCTGTATATATGAGGCAATTCCATATTTTAGTTGTTCCTGAATGTTGTCATTATAATGATATCACATAAACTTTACTAATTTTCGTAACCATATCATCTTGTTATATATCTTCATTGGTTTTATTCACAGGGAGTTGAACAGATAGTTTGTTCATCAATAAGTAAAGATGGCTCATGGATTGCATATTCTGATGTAGATAAAGTTAAATTGTTTCACCTCAGTCTGGACCCTCCTGTGCTCCAAAAGGTAACACAACGTATCCTTGTTATATATTTTCTTTGCCCAGTGCTTAATGTTTTGTTCAAATGACCATGTTTTCCGCGACAAATATCTGTGGTATGCCTATATATGGGCATGATGATGCCATATTACAGAAATAATTTCAAACATAAAGTATACATTAATAACTACAAGACAAAAAGGCCAAAAAAACCCCCAAAAAAAACCAAGCCCTCACTTGTCAAGTTTTGGCTTGGCGTACACAGCCACTGTCGTTTGAAAAAGTCATCTCAGTTCTCTGTATTAGTGTCTCTGCTACTGCCGGTGGCATTCTGAGTGAATTATTTGAAGTGATCGGTGGTGCACGCATTATGTTCTTTAACGGAATCATGTTGGAGCTTCATGAATTTTACTTTTTTTCCCCAGGTTGCATGCCTCCCAACGCAACTGTGTCCGGCACATAACCTACTCTTTTCACCCGACTCGTCCAAGTTGTTTTCTGCAACCAGTTCCTGTTCTGTACAGATCCTTCTGTTGGATGCCATACAACCAAGTCTACAACACACTTTCCATGCAATGGACAATTCCATTGTCCTGCTGGGGGTGGATAGTGCAGGCAAATTTGTTGCTGCAGCAGATGTTGAAGGAACCATTATTGTTTACAATGTTAGCAAATTCAAGGTAGGCATTAGGGCCTCAGAGTCAAATGGTGTGTAACGTTTTTTTGTGATTTTGTAAATTTTGTCCTTCATTCTTGCATTAACCATATTTTGACTATATTTTACCTATCGTTTTTATCGTTGTAGAAGTAGTTTGGCACAGTGGGAAGGGTTTGGTTTCCCAACCTCGAGGTCGGGGTTTGAATCCCCTCGCTGTGCATTCCACTTGTGTCCTTGGGCAAGGCACTTTATCTGCATTGCTTCTCTCTACCCGCTTGTTCTCTTGTATATTTTGTGTGGTTCTGTAATCTGTTCAAGGGGGGATGTAGATAGAGGTGCTTGACACCTGTTCATCCCCTCCTTTTCGCTGCTTTTTTGTCTTGTTTTTAAATTGTTCTTGTATTTTTGCAGTGATGAAGTGTAATAAATAAAATGGGTACCTGGTAGGGTTAAATGTCTTAATGTGCTGATGTAGCTGCTGCAGCTGCTGCAATGTTATGGAATACTCTCCCAGGTAGCTTGAGTTTGTGTTCCATAGGCGTTTAATTCAGTGACCGGTGGTAGTAATGCCAAGCGCTTAGAGGCCTTGTTGCCATTAAGCGCTATATAGGTCTAACATATTAATATTATTATTATTTATAGGGAAAATAACAGGAGCTTATGATTTTTTATTTTTTTCATTTAATTTAAAATTATTTTTTTTGTATTTTTGTAAATACTTTTGTTTTTATATCCCTGGCATATATGTTTTTAATTTAAATCAATAATTTGAACAATTTATTCTAAACTGAAGATCATGTAGCTCAATTGTTATTTCAGTCTCGCCTTCACATGAAGTCAAATTTCGGTATTAGCTTTTATTAATGTAGCAGCAGTTCCATTCAATTAATCTTAATGTTCCATTTAATTTAAAACATAATATGTTTAACATAGTCAATTGCAATGTGCTATTCTTCCTTAATGCATTTTATGTGAAACCTCAAATTTACCTTTGCTATGAGCCACACGCAAAACACTGTACCACTTATTCACTGAGTATGTAGGTCTTCTTCTAAAAGACATGTCACATTGTAATAAGAAAGGTGAATTAATGGAAAATTTGCAATTGTATGGAACTGTGTATAATGCGGCAATGGAACATTTCACAGCATTAGTCATCGATTCAAAAACCACCAGACTGTTAAGCCATTGCAGGTTATGTTTCATGAAAAATGTGTCTGTCTTTTGAAGTATCATGTACTGATTCTGTGACGGTTTTTCTTTTCCACTCTCCTAATTTCAGGTTCACTGTCGGCTGCCCAGATATGACAGCCAGCCAACAGCGTTAGCCTTTAGTTCTCATGCACCTGAGCTTTTCATAGCGTACGCGGATCAAATGGTATGTGAAGTTCTGCTACAAAATCCAAATTAAATAAGTTTTTTTTTTTTTCGACAATTAAAATTTAAATGGCCAAGTGAAAACAAATTATATAAGAGGCCTATTTTTAGCTGTTAGTTTTTCCATACCAGGTTGTTAAAATGTACTGAAAGTTTCCATATGGCTAAATATAAATACAATAAAATCTTCCAATTACGAACCTCTCGAATACGAACACGATTTTCGGTGATGACATCATTACAATCTTTTTTAACCACAAAAACGCACAAAATTTTATTTAAAAATCTTCAAAAATAATATATAATGTTGCATCAGCCAAGAAAGAAAACCCTTAAATACTTCCTTTAAAGCAAGAAATATAAATCGTTTTCTGCTGAGATATATTCTATTTTGAGCTGTGTGTGCTTGTTCTGACAGCTACTGTACAGTAGGTATAGAGAATCTCACCTTTTGTTCATTGGAGGCATTATTCCAATGGATTAAACTAGTGTACACTCTATGGGTGAACTAATTCGCGCTTGTTATGAAGAGAATAATCACACTCGTATTTGCTATTAATGGTCATGTTTTCATTCGGAAATCACTTAACCCTTTCGCTGCTAAGCTTTTTTTGGAAGAAGGGTATTTTGAAATAAATGCCAAAAACAAATACTAAAAGAGGTTATTTTGAAATTGTTTTTGTGTTTTGGGGTGGGAAAGAGGTTGGCCTAATGGAAAAAATTAAAATTGGAATTTTTAATTGGGTGGTCATGTGACCTTGGGGCGGCCATATTGGAAATCCCCTTTTTCATAAATAATTTTTTTAAAGTAATTTTTTATGGGAATTTTTTTTACTGGGATAATAATGAAGATACATAAAATAAATAAAAGATCAATAGTTTGAATTTTTTTCATCTTTCTATTCAAAAACAGACAAAAATCCATGTTTTTCGGCAAAATCGTGAAAAAAAATTAGTAAAAAAAATCAATATAAAATGAGTTATTCACAACAATTAGTCAATACTCCATATAATTCATTAGAAATGGCCAGTAGTTCATAGAAACAACTATAGAGGGCGCTGCAGTACAGGAACAATTTTTAAAAGAATTATTTTCCTATCCACGGTACTACCGGGGGCTAGCAGTGAAAGGGTTAAAATGAGTACTTTACAGTGAGTACAGGTAATTTTGGCTTCCCTATACAATATGACAATACAGTAAAATCCAAGTCATAATATTTTGTGACAAAAATTTGCTCCCATGGCAAGGTTAGGCCTACCAAGCCATGTATAATATGTAGCACAGGCCTACCCTCACCACAGAAATGCTATGAAAGTTTGAACTCTTTGTATTGCAAATTTCCTCAATTACGAAATTCGTTTCAATGGTACGTAATTGGGAGATGTTACTGTGTATATTTAAAAAATTAGAACCTTACTTTATAGCAGGGGTGGGCATAAAAATTGGTTGGAAGGCCAAAGTGAATTTTTGATTGAGGGCCACACCAAAAATGATGTTTCCAGTGAGCTTCCCAAAACCTCCAAGCACTGCTTTTAAACCACATTATTCTCAGTTTTAATGTTACTTTTCACATATAAAAGGTGTTTTCTAGCCAATGTTGCTTGGCGGGCTGCACACATAGGGTCTGTAATTCATTTTCACGGGCTGCAAAAAAAAGCTGTCGCGGACCGTACTTTTCCCCCTTGTGCTTTATAGGTTTTAAGATTTTTTTCTCATATTATTTAGCTATATGAATACAACATAGAACAGAAATCATATTCTCATTGGAGCCGAAGTCTACATAAATGCAAACTTCATCATGCTTGGTTGAGACGACGAAGTAAGGTGACTCGTGTAGTATATAGCGCCACCAATCCAGATATAGTCTTTTTGCATGATGTTAATATGTTGTGTACTATTGACAAATCAAAGGTGAGAATGTTTGTTTATATGAAGGAAAATCAGCATCTTGTGTATAAGGCATTTAATTGACATTTTCAATGAACCTTTCCAATATGTCGATCAAACCAATCAGAACAGGGCAAGGAATACATGCTTGACCCACAAGCATGAGTTGTCCAACATGCTCATGTTTACGCTGTTGTTTTGATCACCTCAACTTGTTACGTGGAATAAAAATAGGACTCACTGGCCTTGTGGCGAACCATTAGGCCACCTGGCTGCGAACCAATTCACTACCATGTGTATAAGAGACAGGTCTTTTGAAGTATCATGTACTGATTCTGTGACGGTTTTTCTTTTCCACTTATTTATTAGCAATGAGCCATTGATTGGTTGTTGCATTTCAAAACACCCAACCTAACAGCCTATTGTTTACCATTGTATTCATCAAAAAATCATTTAAAAATACTAACTACAGTGCACCCTCCAATTTTAAAACCCTCTAATTCTGAGACCTTTTAATTTGAGACCACTTTTTTAAAGGACCAAATAACAATCTTCAATCTTTTAGCACAAATCAAACCTTCTAAGTGGAGACCAAAGCCGAGACCACCCGATATTTTCTGGTTTCAAAGGTGGTCTCCAATTGGATGGTGAACTGTACTGAAGAAAACACAACATCCATAATGTAACATATTCAGCTTCAATCAGGTTGAATGAAACAGGTGAATTAATTCGGCCACCTGCAGCCTGTGATTATGTACACATTCTGCAGTATAAGTTGCAAAGCATTTGTGAACGTGCATAATGTTGTAATAGACCAGCGCTTTATGGATTGCTATAACCTTCGTGAGTATTATAGATGCTTTTATGTAGCTGATGTCACAACAATTAAAAGCTGATGTGGTACATTCATCTGTCCTGCTTACAGGCTCAGGTAGCACGTACGTAAAAACATTACATCGTAAAATATATACAAAACATAAAAAATACATGCAGAGATATTTCATCATTGAAGTAAGGAATATATAAAGGATGGGGGATGGAGAGGAGGGGGAATGATTATGTCAGGAATGGCATAATAAGTTGTTGAAAATTGTTTAAAAACTTATTACCTCTGCCAAGAAGGTTATATCAATCCCGGTCTCTCTGTCTTTCTGCTAGTTATATTACATAAAACTAATAGATCGTCATAAAGTAAAATGGAGTGGTACAATTAGAGGTAATTAAAGTTTGGGTTGAATAAGTAAAAAAATCAAGATCAAGGTCATAGAAATTAAAGAAATAATAAAATACTAATAAACTTAGATATAAAAAGCAAGAAAGCAATTAAAATGTGCTTCTTTTGCAGTATAACCTTAATGAAGTACTCCCTCTATAGTTTAATATCGTTTCAGGCTGAACAACATAATGATAAATTAGTAACATGTTTTGTCAAAATGTGATTCTGTCATACGAAGTAAATATGTCGATATGAAATTATGATAATAATAAATTTTTTATGTAAACTTGATTGAGTCATTAATAACATGTTAATCACGTTGTGGTATTCTTGACATTTAATGTGTGTTGTTGCATTGGAAAAATTCAAACACCAGACTTATGTACTTTAACAAAAAACAAATATTTGCAAATTTGTTGTAGTGTTATTTACATGTGTGATTGGTACATCAGAAAAATGAAACAAACTTATCTAATAGAAATCTATGCTGTATTTTAATTATACAAAGATATGGCCTTGTATAAATTGAATGTATTGTGGTGTTATTTACATAAATGTTTGATACTTTTTAAGAATTGAACATGTGTAATAAACAAACTTATTTGCATAGATTTGAAATCAATATGCCTTACATTGATAATAAACAGATATTTTGTACATGCAAAAATATAAATTTTTGTTTAAATTTAATCAAATAATTTTTGCATTGAAAATACAGTATGTGGTATGTCATGCTGTTTGATGTTAGTATAGGATAACAGTAAAGAGCATCTCTTAACCTAACAAGTGCATAGATTCATTCAAGTTTCGAAGTGCATCCAGGCCTAGGAAGAATGGTCAATGGTCGTATATTTATATAGCGCCTTCCACAGAAAACCGTCTCAAGGCGCTTTTGAAGCTACAAGAAACAAAGAAAAAAGAACGCGAAGAGGGGAATATCCAGAGCAATTTATGAAATGTATTATGTTCTTCAAATTATATGTTTATTTTTATCCATATTATATATTGTCTTCCTTCTGTAACTTTGCACTGGGAAGACTTACCAAAATCCACTGACTATCCACATACTATAGTTTAGTATATGTTTATTTTTTAAGTAGGCCAGTTTGAAGATTTTGACCAACTTGGAATAGCAGAGAAGTTAAAGGAAAATAAACTAAAAAGTTTATCTCTAGAAAATGTAAATTAATATTAATGATAGTGTAAATAGTGTATGGTAATGATCAATAAATAATAATGGTATTTAGAATTAAGTTTAAAATAAGTTCTTTCACATTGCCAAATTGTTAGAGCTTTATACTGCCTTGGTCAATCAATCGGTCATGAAATTATTACCGCCAAAATCTGTAAACTGAACAGTATGGTCGTTTAGTTTCCTCTTCAGAATGGTTATTAGACAATATTAACTAACATTTACATGAAGAAGCCATCTCCACTTCCTGGGTAGTATTTTTAGTTTGCAGCAAGACATTGCCATACAGGCCAATATATTCAAGGTTTAAACCTGTAACTAAATAGAGATTCTTGCTACCCCAGAGATTCCCTGACAGGTGGTCTAGGCTCCTAACCAGGGGATCCAAGATATCAGACTAGAGGTCTGAGATCCCAAATAGTGAGTCTACACCCATATTAGTCTCACCATGTTTAAAGCAAATTTTTTAGTCCCCAAAATGGTACTCACAATGTAAAAGTGTGTGGCCACATTTTGAAATCTAATTTTGCAAGAAAAACGGGGAACAGCTAACAATGTCTATAGCTGGCTTTTCAACGTTCTAAAGTCGTTTTTTTAATTTTTTTAATGGTTTCGTTATTTTTATTCAGATTTTTATGGCTAGACCACATTTCTAACAAATCAATGTTAGCAAGGAGAGCAGTCAAAGTGCATGTAGGGAACATACACAAAATGATATTGTTGTTATAGCTTCTGTTCCTTAAAATCTGGTTTGGATTTTAAATCCCCAAAAATATAACCCATATAATTTAAGAGATATAATTCTATCTTTAAAGCTGAATTTGAAAAAATATAGTATTTGTGTATTTCTTGCATATTTATTACCCTTGCCCCACAAAGTGGGGTGAGGGTATTGCAATGAGCTCTGTCTGTGTGTCTGTCTGTGACGTTTTTGTGTTTGTCCTTCCGGGAGTATAACTGAAAAACTATTTTTGTATCCACTGGTTGTTGTTTTATTGTAATGGTATAATGTTACTAGCTATGGATATCAGGTGAAACTTAGCCGAGCGGTAAAGATGCACGTTTTGTGGGTCAAGATAATTAAACGTATGGGGTTTCTTTTCCGCTCGGCCACATTTCACCCTATACATATAGCCAGTAATATTATATCCCTGTAATACAACAACAACCAGCGGATACATGTCGTGACAGCAGGGCGAGGGTTTGTAATCTCAGATTATCTTGTTTTATATTTGTCTTTTGTATGGTCTTGTTACTAATATTTGTTAACATAGCAATTGCAAATATAGGCAATGTATTCAGTCTGCGCCATATGTGTATGTAATATTAGTATTGTAAAAATGGCTACTTGTAATAAAATTATTGGACAACCTTGAAGAACCTGGCAGCTTCCTGATATTCTAGTGATATTTCCTCTGCACCAACAACCTTATGTCAGTAAACTATCTAGAGAAACCGGTAGACTACCCGGTGCATCATTAAACTATATAGAGCATCAGAAGTTTTCATTATATGCATCCATTTTTAAGCTACTTGGAGTATCAGTAGACTACCAGGATCATCGGTAGACTACCTGGACCATTAGTAGACTACCTGGACCATTGGTAGTATACTTGGAGCTTCAGTAGACTACCTGGAGCATTGGTAGACTACCTAGCACATTGGTAGACTATTGTACCTAGAGCATCAGTAGAATATTTGGAGCTTTGGTAGGCTACCCGGAACATAGGTTGATTACTTGGAGCATCATTAGACTACCAGGAACATCATTAGACTACCTGAAGAATTAGTACACTACCTGGAACATCAGTAAATTACTTGGAGCTCCATTAGACTACCCGGAACATCGTTAGACTTTCTGAAGAATCGGTAGACTACCTAGAGCATCGGTAGACTACCTGGAACATTGTTATACTACTTGGAGCATTATTAGGACTACCTGGGACATCATTAGACTACCTGAAGCATCGGTAGACTACCTAGAGTATTGGTAGACTACCTTGACCATTGGTACCTGGACCATCTGTAGAATATTCTGTAGTTTCTGTAGACTACATGGAGCATTGTTGAACTATCTGGAGTATCAAGCATTGGTAGACTGCCTGAATAGATGAACTGTGTGAAGACTATCTGTGGCATTGTAGAATTACCTAAAGCATCGTTAAACTACCTGGAGCATGAGTAGACACCTGGAGCATCGGTAGACTAGCTGAAAGCGTTGTTGAATTATCTGGAGCAGCAGTAGACTACCTGGAGTATTGGTAGACATCTGAAGCATCGGTAGACTAACTGAAAGCATTGTTCTTGAATTATCTGGAGCAGCAATAGACTACCTGGAGTATCATTAGACCATCAGTAGACTACCTGGAGTATTGGTAGACATCTGAAGCATCGGTAGACTGACTGAAAGCATTGTTCTTGAATTATCTGGAGCAGCAGTAGACTACCTGGAGTATCGTTAGACTACCTAGACCATCAGTAGACTAACTGGAGCGTGAGTAGACATCTGAAGCATCGGTAGACTACCTGAAAGTGTTGAATTATCTGGAGCAGCATTAAACTACTTCCTGGAATATTGTTGAAGTACCTAGACCATCAGTAGACTACCTAGAACAT